ATATGCAGACCAGTGCTTTCTTAATTTTATTTCAGGTCAATGAGTTCATTCATTGTTGAGAACTGGAGGTTGAAAAAGAAATATGGGATTTCCTGCTTTTTCCAATCTGTTGGCAATAAAGGTAGAAAGAAGTGCGAGTAGATATGAGGTCTGCTAGATTAAAGTATTTGAAAGACACAGTAACAAGATACAAGGTCATTTAACTATAGCTAAAACTATATTTAATAAATCAGTTTACCAAAACATGTTTTGCATTTAAGACATTTTTAGCTTACCAGTACATTCAACAAGGCCTAATCTGCTAGTAAGATTTTAAAATTATTTTTTATGTATTCTTATGGATACTTCATTTCTAAATATAGCTACTATAATAAAATGTAAATATAAAACCCCGAGAACTGAATGTATTACGTTTTATTACATTTTTTTAATGAATATGTATAGATACATTATATATTTTCTGGCAAAAAGTGGCAAATCCAGTGTAAAGCCTATTGTTAGCTGAAAATGGTTATCATCTAGTGAAAATTATACTTTCTTTGGGGAAAATAACTACAAAGTACAAATGAAAAATAAGATTAGAATTGATTATATAAAGTGTGATTTTTACACTGGTGACTTATATCACCTTCAGTCAACTTGCCCTGGAAATGTTTAAAGAGTTATTGGAAATTAAAACAAAAATTCATCATATATAAGCATAAAACCTATGCCAGAAATTTTTTATTTTGGAAGACCTGGTAAGATTCTAAATAGCAGTTTGGTTAGCTGTCCTCTCAGTTGGTTTATTTACCTGACATTGCTAATAGTCACTCATAGATTGAATAGATTTCATAGATGTTAAGGTTGGAAGGGACCTTAGATCATAGAGTCTGGCCCCCTGCCCTGGGTAGGAAAGAGTGCTGGGGTCAAGTGACCCCAGCCAGGTGCTTGTTCGGCCTCCTCTTGAAGACCTCCAAGGGAGAGCACCACCTCGCTTGGCAGCCCATTCCAGATTCTGGTAACTGTTACCATAAAGAAGTTCTTACTGATGTCTAACCTAAATCTGCTGTCCGTCAGTTTGTGGCTGTTGTTCCTAGTTACTCCAAGGGGTGCCCTGGTAAACAGAGCAGCTCCTATTCCTTGCTGTTCCCCCCCTGAGACATGTGTAGATGGCCACCAGATTCCCTCTCCTTCTCCTGTGGAGGCTGAAGAGATCCAGGTTCCTCAATCTCTTCTTGTAGGACCTTACCTGTCAATAAGACCTACTTTGCATTTCTTTTTCTTTATTGGATTTATATTAATGGCATTATAATAAAGCACTCCATTTAACATTCTCCTGCATGGCCAGCACTAGCTCCTGTTCACACACGCACAGGCTGCGTCAGTGAGGGACAGCAAAAGTGTTGTTGCCTCCAAGGGGAATTGCTCTAGTGGTAATTTTTCCAGAGTGTACCTCACTGCTAATGAATACATAATGTGAGAACACTGCATTTTGGTAGGCCCTTATGTTCATTTCTACAAGAGCCTGACCAAAAAGATATAACCTTCAAATAAATAAAAACAAAGTGAGTGTGGTTGTGATTCAAATAAATAAAGATAAGATAGTGAGGCTTTGATTTTTCTTTTCGGATGAAGCTATAGCAGCATGAAGGGGACAGTAAAACCATGAAAGACATGTATTTAGGTGCAGATTCTATGTAAGGTAGCTATGGACTGCCCTAGGAAGCCTCTTTTTCAAGTCATGGTGTAGGAAGCTGGGCTGGAAGGCATGGGACTAGCATGTATAGTGATGCTATAATTCTGCACAGAGCTATTGCTGACAAACTACTTGGGTTTCTGTTGCCATAACGTAGTCAAACTTAATATCTAAATTGGTAATATCTTAACTGGTATTAAGCCAGTTCTGCTCCCACTGTCTCTTGGGATGCAAGGTTTCTATTTGGCATAGAAGTTCACTCTGAGGTTTATAATTCCCTTGCACTTCTGCTGCTAGGAATGCTGACTCGGACAAGGATGCTGACATTTGAAGTACTGTATAGTTTAGACCTGTTTTTTTATATGCTGGAGACAATCTTAACAAGTGCTTCTTTTGACGCAGTTGCATTAGCAGCTATGCCTAGTGGAAAGCGTATAGGGCAGGAAAGTCGTCTCTACTCTTCATTCCACTGCCCTTTCATCCACACCTTGGTTGCATCCAGGATTTGTTATGCCAGCTGTGAACAAAGAATTTCAAGGTCTTGGAGAGAGATCAGCATGAGAGGCTGATATAGCTGGTGGTTGGAGGAAGGTCACTTGCCAAGGAGATTTGAAAGATAGCTGACATCCACAGAACTGTAAAGGCCAGAATTGTGAGCTTTTTGAAGTAATATCCTTGACACCAGCCTAGAATGAGGTCTTAATACAAGGTTTTAATGTTTGGGACATACTGTGTTATAAACTTTCCTTCAGTCAGTTAGAGGTTTTGAAGCTTTGAAAATGGTAAGCTCTGAAAGACAGCACTGAAGGACTTTTCCACCAAAAATACAGATCCTGTGTGATTTAACATTTACATCACGTTTCTTAAAAGGTTTCTTTTGTATTACTGTTTAATGGATGTCAGTCTCTGCTGCAAAGATCTTTACTTTAGTGTATAGCTAAACTGTTTGGCAAATAGTAGAAACTTTGGTCTTTTTCCTGAATACTAAGAATCAGATCCAGTCAAGCCTCAAAATTACTTCAGATTTATTCCAATTCTCACAGAAGCCCATGGAAGCTTAACATTGATGTTCTTATTAATTGAATCTTTCCCTTTACAAAGAGAACACCAGTGTTTGAAGCTAGCAGCTGAACAGGGCATGTAACTTTTTTTGTTTTTCCTGTTCAAGAAGACAGAGGATACAGCTAGGGAATCATCTACCTTGAATCTTGTCCTGACCAATAGGGAAGAACTGATGGAGGATGTGAAGGTGATGGGTAACTTGGGAGCTGGTGATCATGATGTGACAGGATTCCAGATCCTGAGACAGGGAAAGCATGAAATCAGCAAAATTAGGAGGCTAGACTTCAAAAAGGTAGATTTCATCCAATTTCAGGAGTCAATAGGCATGATGCCATGGAAGGTTAGACTGAAGGATAAAAGCACCCAGGAGGGCTGGGAGCTTCTAAAGGGAAGCCCAACAAGAAACTGTCCCCACAAAATGCAATAAGAAGAATGATAATGAAAAGAAACTTAGGAGAGTAATATACAGCTGTAAGGCAACGGAAAAAGAAGAGGTGATAAAAATGAAATGAAAATGTTCTCATTACAAGAAGACTTGGAGTAAGAATAAACAGGTGATTATGAGAAAACAGAAAAGATTAAAAGGAAGAAAGAAACTGATTCTTTTTTGTTTTTAAATAATAAATTCTGTGCCATGTAGCATATTGGGAAGCAAAATTGCAATAAGATGTCCATTAAAGGAAATTTCTTAGGCAAGTGCTGCATAGCTCTTTTAATTTGAAAAACGGTGAAAATTGCAAGTGAAACTAATGGTTCTTGTATGAAGAAATGCTGCTTAATGCCAATCTGTTTTAACTGACCACTTGCTGCAGTAATTGGTAACTTGTCACTGGGTTTCCCATTTTGCTAGTTCAGTTCTTGACCATCATGCATACTCTTTCTTTTCACGCTTCTAGCCAGGGCATTCTTAGAATACTAGGTGGCTGTCACCCATATGCCTTTTCAGAAAACTAGTGGTCCTCTGGCATGGGTCCTTATTGCTTCTTTTGGTAGGCCTATGCAAGAGGTTGAAACCTTGGTACACATGACTAATGTCAGTTTTGACTTCAGTAAATATTTCTCTCTCACTGGGAATACAACAAATATGCAGTGCACAATTTGGGAAAATCTTTAGCAGAAGTAATTGAATATTTGACAGGTTTTCAGTGAATAAGTCCATATTATTTGATAAACTCTTCAAGCTTGAAAGATATTTGAGTAACTTATTTGTCCATGTTTTTTCATCAATTGATGAATAATGGTAAAAAAGTTATTAGCAAATACCTTATTCGTTCAGCTCCTAATTTGCAATTTCTGCTCCAGAGAGGCCTAACTTGAAAATACTGAGTATTTCTTTCATGGCAGATCAGAGATGTGCTGTTAGAGTTGTGTGGGATTCTAGGTCTGGAATATCAGGGACATTGCATGACATACGTTAACAAAGCTGTGTGTGTAGGGAAGCTGTCACAGTGCCCTCTCCTCTTCATGCTGTAATGGCCTTAGTCAGTGCTTTGGGTCCTGTAGCTTCATGTGCATCTATTTTTAAAATGAATATTCAAAATAAAAATGACTACTTAAGGTAACGGGTGTCTCATGAGTAGTCACCGGGTAGATTTTAAATTTGTCTTTTTCTTTTGCTTTATGCAGACACGGTTATTTCTTAAGTGTCATATATTTGTTCTCATCATCACCATTATTATTATTATGGTATATATCCAATGTCGAATTAACATTTGAGTATATGGAGTTGTTGCTTCCCAAACTTAACTGAAGTTGTCATGAGACATCTCTTTGAAGCTGATCTTCACAATGCCGAAGTTTTGTTAACTAGTTGTACAGTGTAATGGTTGACATTGGTCCACTTGCAACACGATGGGTTCTGTTCAACAGGAATATTTTAATTGGTTTCCACTGTGCATTACTTTAAAACTGCTTGTAGATATAGAAATCCTTGACATATGTTTTGTTTGTTCCTGAAAATACATGCTTTATTCTGCTTTGGTCATTCAGCTTAGTTTTATGTGATTGTCAGCTGGAAAAAAAAATACTGCGTTTGGCAGCACTTCAACAGCAAAGCAGCTTCCTGCAGCCTAGGACTATAAACTGTATAATTTGTCCATGGAGGCCTATGCATTACAGAAATGAAAATTCCTTCTCTGACAGCATTCATTGCTTAGCACACAGCAATTTGGCTGTCAGAAACAGCTGGCACCGTAGGGTGGGACAATAGGAAGGGGGAGAGAAGGAAGTGCTTACTCAAAGCACCCACTGAGAGGATCAAGTTGCACAGTCTGTCATTAACAACAGACTGTACCATGATCTGAGATGCAGCTTTATGTCTGAGCAGGAGTCTGTGGCTCAGATAGTAGGTATTTTTACTGAACAGTGGTGGGGAGAAGTCCTTGCATTAAGTTATACTGAATATGGCCTGTGTCTATATGAAGTTATGCATTGAAGTGGAAGGAAGTTCTTTTTCAAGGTTAGGTGAAGTTTTACTTATTTCTTCTGTGGCATGGCAGGGGGAAGGGGAGGTCAAAAAGTTGTGAAAGTAATTCTTGGAGGGTTTGTCTTTTAAGCCTGTAGTTTTCAGTCTTTTAAGTCTGTGGTCTGGTAGCCAGTTACAAAAAAACAGCAGACATAACTATTAGTATTTAACCTGTAAGAAAGTCAACTGAGCAGCAGTGGAGGAAAAAAAAAATCTGTATTTTTTCAGTATGTCATGTGGGCCCCCCTGCCCCCACAACAGAACAGTACTTTACTCTTGATTTCTGTCTACCTACAGCTTGGTTTTGTTTCCTCTGTATTGATTCTCATGATTCATTGAACATGATCTAAGTAAAAAGCATACTTAAATGATAGTGGAGACAGCTGTCTGTTAAAGTAGGACATTTATACGTGGTGTAATGGCGCCAGATTCTTTTTTTTCCCTTGACTTTTCTGTTGTAATGTGTGTACACACTAGCAATATTTCATTAAAGGTTTATTTTCTTTTATAAAGCACCTGTGTCTTGCCTTTATGTGAAGTTTAAAGAACTGTATTTTTGTTATTGCAAACTTCAGTATCATTTTTGGCTCTTGAAGGGCCAACTATTGTGTCTGTGGTTATCTTGCTTGTTGCATTTTTTTAAGTTGAAAAGATTTTACAGTGTGTTCCAGAGTCCCTGTCAAAAATGTGCAGAGGAAAGAAAAGCCTGACTTTCCCCCGCCAAGCTAGGTGGTTGACTAGCTAGCCGGACTGTTTAAAATGTACGTATGGGGAATTTGGATAAAGACAGAAACGTTAGAATACCCTGGGAACTGATGTGTGGCTTTTCCTGTTTTAATCTGTTCTACTTTGTATGACACAGGCTGAAGTTCCAGATGTTGTTTTGGATTAAAGATAGTGGATGGAAAAATAAGCTTTCTTTAATAATAGTGTCAGACTGGCTGGTTCTGTATTGACAGCAAAATGGAGAGATAAGAACTCTTTTAATGGAGCATACAGTATCTAAAGTAACCAATAAAACAATGCTGTTTTCATATTGGCACTGATCAATGCCAACTGCAAGAGGAGACAGCTGCAGAGACTGACAAGTATTAGCATAAAAACTGAATGTTAACTTATGTGAGGAGGTGTGGGGTTTTTGTTATTGGTGTATACATGGTTTTCTTAAAAGTTATTTTTTAATACTCTGTGAAAAGAAAACATTACGTTTAAATTTTATAGCATTGCATTGAGGGCTGTGGTGAGAAGAAGCAGGGGATAGAGGGTATTTAAAATGCATTCTCCGATGGTTTCTATTTGTAGTCTGTTAGCACCATATTTTGTACTGGTCTCTAGTGTGATTTGGTTTATTTCCACCCCACTCTTCCCCTCAAATGATTTCTCAAATCTTTTAGAAAGATTCCTTTTAATGGTATCTGCAATTCTGTTCATTTCCTCATTTTAATCTTGGTTACATTCTTCTCCCAAGTCCTAGCAAATCTGACAAACAGTGATTGCAGCTTTTCCGTTCAGTAGAATGCCTTCTCCTTCCTTCTCATCAGTATCTGATAAATTATTGTGCTGTTTTAGCAAAGCTGGCTTCCTCCAGACTCCCTGACCTTGGAAAGCAGCTGTTCCAACAGTAAGTATTTCATGTATGCTGATCCATGGCATAATACTGAAAGTTACAGGATGTAGTACCAGCCAACTTCATGCTGTATAGAGTTAAGCAATTATTATTCTTCAGCATCTTAAATCAGTGGTTCTCAGCTAGCATGCCACAAGATCCTTTCAAGGGTGATGTGGGGAGCCACACAATGTTAGCATGCCTAACTGTGCTAACATGATTGACAAAGTAAAACCACAGATTTCAAGTAGAAATTCATAATGTTAAAAATATTTTGACCACTTGAATCTTTCTGAGTTCTTTGCACCAGAAGAATTGTTCTATTACTTTTTTTGTAACCAAAAAACAAGTGTAAGCCAAGAACTGGCATTTTCTGATGGGTGACTTAAATCTCACAAAGTTGAAAACCACTGATCTAAACACTTGTCTGTGTTTAACTGCTGCTGCTTGCAGTTGGGTTTAACAGTCTAAGCAGATTTATTAATCAGAAACAAACTTTTTGTTTTGTGTTACTGAGTTTCTTGACACTTTCTCTTTGTTTTTATTCTCTTTCTCTCTGTTGTCAGGAAATGGCAATTGAGTATTGTGGACACAGTAGCTTAGACTTTGAGCCAAGCCTAGTTGTTTTCAATCTGATTTTGGCCTGTTTTAGCTCAGTTTTG